CAAAAAAACCTGGGGGAGTTCACTGGGGGATGTGGCTGCTGCTTGGGAACTGGCTGGGCATCAGTCAGTGGGTGGTGAGCAATTGCATTGTGCATCACTTGTTTCTATATTCTTTTATCATTACTTCCCCTTGCTTTTCTGTCCTATTAAATTGTCTTTCTCTCAACCCACGAGTCTTACCTTTTTTTTTTTTTGATTCTCTCCCCCATCCCGCTGTGGGGGAGCGAGCGAACGGCTGTGTGGTGTTTAGCTGCCTGCTGGGTTAAACCACAGCAGCCATTAAAGGTTTAAGATGATCTAGGTGCAAATGGAAGAATTTGTTTCCCTCTTGTAGTATTCTCACCTGAACTTGCTCCCTTTAGCATTTTTAAGTAATGGAAAGAGCGCTGCTTTTTTTCAGGTTCTGTAATTTCTCCTGACCTGGGTCAGCTCAGGAGGGGCTTGCTCGTCATGGGCTGGCTCTGGATCACCTCAATCAGTCTTCTCTGCCTTTTATTTCAGGGGAAATTAAGCTTCCTAAAGGCTACTGTGATGCTGACCTGACCCTTGACAGCAAGCTTGATGTCCTTCTGCCACGTCGACGGGGGCTGGGCCTCTGCTCCACAGCCTTAGCCAGTTACCTCATTAGTCTGCACAATGACTTTATCCACTTGGTGAACAAACACATCAAGGAAGATGACAGGTACGATGCTGTTCCAGCTAGGCATTTTGGAGGGGCTCTGTTGTGTTACCTGCTACCACACAACCAGCTTTCCCTGCTTCATAAAGGCTTCTCGCTCTACACGGAGACTCTTCTCTCTTCTGCAGGTACTTGATCAGTCCATCAGAAGTGGCTGACCTGCACGTGATCAGTTACGAGGTTGAGAGAGACCTGATTCCTCTCATCTTATCCAACTGCCAGTACAGCATGGAGAAGGGAGGGGAGACGTTGCAGGACTTTGATCTGGAGAGGATCCAGCAGCAAGTCATCAGCAAGTTCCTGCAGGGGAAACCACTCATCACCCTAACGGTAGGAGAAGGCAGCTAGCTATGTTTTCTGCAGACAACTTCTTGGCTGGTGTTGGAGCCCTACAGCGTTTGCTGCAGCCAGGCATGCACTGTAGCAGGGTTAGCAATGTTACCAAAGCTTTACAACCATGGGTTTCTCTCCTGACAGGGAATACCTACTCTCGTGTACAGACAGGATCGGAATTATGAGCAGCTCTTTAATGATGTCAGGAATAAACTGGATCAGGTGGGTTTCTGCACTGGAGGAAACAGGGCAAGCACGTGACCCCTGGCATCCCGAGAAACGCCAGGCCTTCTGTGTCACTTGCCTCGTTTATCTGCTCTGAAGGCTTGTCTCCGGGCATGCCTTGGCTATGTGCAAACCAGCCTTCTTTTGTCAGTCAGGATTTACAAAGGAAAGGGACATAGTTAAGCATTTTCAGTTTCCTAAATCTGGGGCTCTGCCATCTTCCGTGACTTCAGCAACTTGAGCAGCAATAAGGAATGGCTCTAAACTAATATTAGCAACTGCTTTGACTTCATGGTTTTCAGAATGCTCTCCCCAGTTCTGTGATGAGCATGATCAGTGGGGAACTACAGTCTTATAGTGAAGTCTGTGAAGCTCTGACCATCACTGAAATTACCTTGGGATTCCTGGCCATGGCTGGAGAGAATGCCGAAATGCTTCTGACTGACTACATAGAAAAAGTTCTGCAGATGGGTGATCAGACAAACCCTCATGTACTGCAGGTGAGTCCGGAGAGCAAAGCTCTTATTCTTACGGGATAAAATCTGCACTGGTTTGTACTAAATGCACCCAGCCTGATCTCCAAGCCCAGTAAAAGTTTGGCTTGAAAAGGGACGTGATAGAATTCCCTCCCCACCATATTCAACAGCGAGGAGGGGGGGAACAATTTTCACTTCCCCTGCAACCAGTGTTTGCAGGGCGGGAGCATCTCATAGCTTGTGATGCTCAGCAGGTTCTTGCAAAACCCTACAGAAAGGTCAGGTGCAGGATGTGCAAAAGGTTGGACTCTTCTCTGCAGATCCAAGCTCTTCTGTCAGCACCAGGAAGGAGAATTCTCCAATGAGTGTTGCAGTGCTAAAACTGAGAAAAGGGAGAACTTTCAATTATGAGTCAGCTTTCAGTGACGCTGGCTTACCTGGTGCTGAGCAGGATTGAAAATCTCCCGTTACCTCTCAAAAGTGGCGACAGGGGAAGGTTTTATTTCCTAATGGTGTGTGAAATGAAGCCCTCGACTGACAGGGGGCAGAGGCACTATGTTATGACAAGTGTGTGTGACATTGCCCTGTCACTTCTCCACTCCTGTTTACCAAAAAGATGGATTATGGGAGGGAGAGAGAAGCCTATTGCAGACGGGCTTCTACACCCAGGTTAAAAGGGCTTGATGAACTCCCTGTGGTTGTGTTCCTCTGCAGTTTTGACCTGCATGGGCGCAGGACAGGGTGTGGACAGGTTCCTAAATACATCCCTTACATCCAGGTTCACTCCATATATGTGTGTGTGTTTCAGGCCCTTGGACGATGCCACCTAAAGCACAGCATAGCCCTATGGCAACTTCTCTCTACCCGCAAATCTGAGCAGCTTCTGCGCCTCAAAAGGGTAAGGTACACTGATAGCTTCAGTGTCTAAGCAGCTGTTTCCTCTTCTCTAAATGACGTTGTTCAAATGTGTATGGCTGGCTTTTTTTTTTCCTTTTTTTCCCCTCGCTGCACTTTTAGGATCCTTTTGTAGACATCAGCCCAGTCTACAAAGCTGAGCTCAGTCCGGAGATTGCCAAGCTCCTCAACACCTTCCTTGTCCACTCAAGGCTGGAAACCTTCCTGCAGGAGCTCCATGAAATGATTGTCCTGAAGCTGAGACGTGTCCAAGCTGTGGATGAATTCAAACCCACATGGAGGTAATGGATTTATGCAGACTAAACCAACCCACAGTTGTTGTTACTACCTTAAGCTTCTCTGCCTTTGAAATCGCATGTGATGGCAATGGTTCCCTTGGCAAATGCCTGCCCCGCTGGACACAAAGCACGACTATTGGCTTTAAGGATGTGCAGCTAGTGTTAAGACACACTGCCTGTTTCTGGCATGTGTGAGACTTCATCTTCCACAAGCTATTTGGGAACACTGCTGGAATATTCTAGGAGCTGCTGTACGTGAGCACTAACGATAAACACCAGCACTCCTGCAGTCACTCAGATGAGCACGCTCAGCTTTCCACACACACAGCTTGGCCCCAACTGCTTGGTTCTGACCTGCAGCCTCCCATTTCTGGGTTCTTTACCCTCTCCGTAGGTCTGACTGACTGTTTAATCCTTCCCATTACAAAATACAGTTGTTAAAACTCTGTGTACTTAACGTTGGTGCATTCCTACTGTTGTCTGAAAAGCGGATCCGTGGCCTGGTGTGCAGTAAGTAAATTGCCACACACTCAGCAGAGACATTGCATATTTATTTCCTTTCTGCAGAGATGGGCGCGAGGTGGTAGCTCCACAAAGCGAGCACACCTTGGTGATCAGGCAGCAGCTTTTTATACACTGAGACCAACACTTATCAGTTATTTTGCAATCATACCCAGTCACATCCCTTGCTTATTGGCTTTCACAAGCTTTGCATTCGATTGGAGCTACAGAGTCCGTCCTTTGTAGGACGCATGCCCTGCAAGGAAGGGTCCAGACATGGGCAAGGGTCCTTTGACCCGGGGGCATGATTTTTAGTATTATAACGAGGGCAGTTCAGCTGAGGGCACACAGATCTTGAGTTCGCTTGCCAAGTTTTAGATGTTTTCAGATCATCTTGATTAGGTGTCCTCTTCAGGCCTCCTTGCTCCAGGCTGTCTTCATTCTGAAAGTACTGTTCCTCTGATGAAACGTCCCCCGTATTATTTACAAAGTACATCTGGTATCAAAATGGTTAAAGCTTTTTGAGCCCTTCTGCAACGCTACCACACGCAATACTACATGGCATTGGTAGCTGGCCGTGCACCATCTGCTAATACTACTTTTGCTCTTTGTTGTCCAGCCTGAAGGAATCGCTCCTTCCTTACCTTGACGCAAAAGACTCGGAGTTGGCTACGGAGCTGCAGGAGCTCTTCCCCGATGAGATTCTTCTCTCCCACGCTGCCGCGGCCTGGAAAGCAGCCGCTCTCTTCAAAAGGGGGCACAGGGAAAGCTAGCCCCCACTGGCCCCGGCCCTCCTCACGCCCAGGGGCTTTGAGTGCCACAAACACACGGTGCTGGTGAGCTGGCGGCCCAGGGGGGTTGGCTTTTTGGGCTGCTTTTCTGCCTGTGAGGTTTTTTTTTTTTTTTTTACTAACTTCAATACAACTGAAGCGTTTTACTAACTTCGTACAACTAAAGTAAAAGGGGAAGATGAGATGCTTTTGCGCAGCAGAAGGCTGGTGGCGAAGCAGAAGGCTGCACCGCTCCCCAGAGACTCTTGAAGCCACCTGGGAAAGATGAAGGATTATTATTTTTTATTTTTTTTTTCAAGTATCGTTCCCCAGTGCTGGGGAAGGTGGTTTTTGATTGCAATCTCCCTTTCTCTTAGCACTGAACTGTCACTAAGGTGCAGAACGGGCAGCCCGCTACCGGGGACTCGGTTCCCCGGGAGCCCGTGCAGCACCGCCGAGGCACCGGGACCACGTCGGGGAGCGGCTCC